TTGATATGTTCACATTGTGGTAGTTGCTGTGTTCCATAATGATATGTTCACATTGTGGTAGTTGCTGTAATTGTGTTCCATATTGATATGTTCACATTGTGGTAGTTGCTGTGTTCCATATTGATATGTTCACATTGTGGTAGTTGATGTGTTCCATATTGATATGTTCACATTGTGGTAGTTGCTGTGTTCCATATTGATATGTTCATATTGTGGTAGTTGCTGTAGTTGTGTTCCATATTGATATGTCCACATTGTGGTAGTTGATGTGTTCCATATTGATATGTCCACATTGTGGTAGTTGATGTGTTCCATATTGATATGTTCACATTGTGGTAGTTGTTGTGTTCCATATTGATATGTTCACATTGTGGTAGTTGCTGTAATTGTGTTCCATATTGATATGTTCACATTGTGGTAGTTGCTGTGTTCCATATTGATATGTTCACATTGTGGTAGTTGTTGTGTTCCATATTGATATGTTCACATTGTGGTAGTTGCTGTGTTCCATATTGATATGTTCACATTGTGGTAGTTGATGTAGTTGTGTTCCATATTGATATGTTCACATTGTGGTAGTTGCTGTAATTGTGTTCCATATTGATATGTTCACATTGTGTTAGTCGCTGTGTTCCATATTGATATGTTCACATTGTGGTAGTTGCTGTGTTCCATATTGATATGTTCACATTGTGGTAGTTGCTGTGTTCCATATTGATATGTTCACATTGTGGTAGTTGATGTAGTTGTGTTCCATATTGATATGTTCACATTGTGGTAGTTGCTGTGTTCCATATTGATATGTTCACATTGTGGTAGTTGCTGTGTTCCATATTGATATGTTCACATTGTTGTAGTTGATGTAGTTGTGTTCCATATTGATATGTTCACATTGTGGTAGTTGCTGTAGTTGTGTTCCATATTGATATGTTCACATTGTTGTAGTTGATGTAGTTGTGTTCCATATTGATATGTTCACATTGTGGTAGTTGTTGTGTTCCATATTGATATGTTCACATTGTGGTAGTTGATGTAGTTGTGTTCCATATTGATATGTTCACATTGTGGTAGTTGCTGTAAATATGTTCCATATTGATATGTTCACATTGTGGTAGTTGCTGTGTTCCATATTGATATGTTCACATTGTGGTAGTTGCTGTAATTGTGTTCCATATTGATATGTTCACATTGTGGTAGTTGCTGTAAATATGTTCCATATTGATATGTTCACATTGTGGTAGTTGCTGTGTTCCATATTGATATGTTCACATTGTGGTAGTTGCTGTAATTGTGTTCCATATTGATATGTTCACATTGTGGTAGTTGCTGTGTTCCATATTGATATGTTCACATTGTGGTAGTTGCTGTGTTCCATATTGATATGTTCACATTGTTGTAGTTGATGTAGTTGTGTTCCATATTGATATGTTCACATTGTGGTAGTTGCTGTGTTCCATATTGATATGTTCACATTGTGGTAGTTGCTGTGTTCCATATTGATATGTTCACATTGTTGTAGTTGATGTAGTTGTGTTCCATATTGATATGTTCACATTGTGGTAGTTGCTGTAGTTGTGTTCCATATTGATATGTTCACATTGTTGTAGTTGATGTAGTTGTGTTCCATATTGATATGTTCACATTGTGGTAGTTGTTGTGTTCCATATTGATATGTTCACATTGTGGTAGTTGATGTAGTTGTGTTCCATATTGATATGTTCACATTGTGGTAGTTGCTGTAAATATGTTCCATATTGATATGTTCACATTGTGGTAGTTGCTGTGTTCCATATTGATATGTTCACATTGTGGTAGTTGCTGTAATTGTGTTCCATATTGATATGTTCAAATTGTGGTAGTTGCTGTGTTCCATATTGATATGTTCACATTGTGGTAGTTGTTGTGTTCCATATTGATATGTTCACATTGTGGTAGTTGCTGTGTTCCATATTGATATGTTCAAATTGTGGTAGTTGCTGTGTTCCATATTGATATGTTCACATTGTGGTAGTTGCTGTGTTCCATATTGATATGTTCAAATTGTGGTAGTTGCTGTGTTCCATATTGATATGTTCACATTGTGGTAGTTGTTGTGTTCCATATTGATATGTTCACATTGTGTTAGTCGCTGTGTTCCATATTGATATGTTCACATTGTGGTAGTTGCTGTGTTCCATATTAATATGTTCACATTGTGGTAGTTGCTGTGTTCCATATTGATATGTTCACATTGTGGTAGTTGCTGTGTTCCATATTGATATGTTCACATTGTGGTAGTTGCTGTGTTCCATATTGATATGTTCACATTGTTGTAGTTGATGTAGTTGTGTTCCATATTGATATGTTCACATTGTGGTAGTTGCTGTGTTCCATATTGATATGTTCACATTGTGGTAGTTGCTGTGTTCCATATTGATATGTTCACATTGTGGTAGTTGCTGTGTTCCATATTGATATGTTCACATTGTTGTAGTTGATGTAGTTGTGTTCCATATTGATATGTTCACATTGTGGTAGTTGCTGTGTTCCATATTGATATGTTCACATTGTGGTAGTTGCTGTGTTCCATATTGATATGTTCACATTGTGGTAGTTGATGTAGTTGTGTTCCATATTGATATGTTCACATTGTGGTAGTTGCTGTGTTCCATATTGATATGTTCACATTGTGGTAGTTGCTGTGTTCCATATTGATATGTTCACATTGTGGTAGTTGATGTAGTTGTGTTCCATATTGATATGTTCACATTGTGGTAGTTGCTGTGTTCCATATTAATATGTTCACATTGTGGTAGTTGCTGTGTTCCATATTGATATGTTCACATTGTGGTAGTTGCTGTGTTCCATATTGATATGTTCACATTGTGGTAGTTGCTGTGTTCCATATTGATATGTTCAAATTGTGTTGGTTGCTGTAATTGTGTTCCATATTGATATGTTCACATTGTGGTAGTTGATGTAGTTGTGTTCCATATTGATATGTTCACATTGTGGTAGTTGCTGTGTTCCATATTGATATGTTCACATTGTTGTAGTTGATGTAGTTGTGTTCCATATTGATATGTTCACATTGTGGTAGTTGCTGTGTTCCATATTGATATGTTCACATTGTGGTAGTTGCTGTGTTCCATATTGATATGTTCACATTGTTGTAGTTGATGTAGTTGTGTTCCATATTGATATGTTCACATTGTGGTAGTTGCTGTGTTCCATATTGATATGTTCACATTGTGGTAGTTGCTGTGTTCCATATTGATATGTTCACATTGTGGTAGTTGCTGTGTTCCATATTGATATGTTCACATTGTGGTAGTTGCTGTGTTCCATATTAATATGTTCACATTGTGGTAGTTGCTGTGTTCCATATTGATATGTTCACATTGTGGTAGTTGCTGTGTTCCATATTGATATGTTCACATTGTGGTAGTTGATGTAGTTGTGTTCCATATTGATATGTTCACATTGTGGTAGTTGCTGTGTTCCATATTGATATGTTCACATTGTGGTAGTTGATGTAGTTGTGTTCCATATTGATATGTTCACATTGTGGTAGTTGCTGTGTTCCATATTGATATGTTCACATTGTGGTAGTTGCTGTAATTGTGTTCCATATTAATATGTTCACATTGTGTTGGTTGGTGCATTTGTAATGAGATGTGATCTCTTTTGAAGTGTCTCTTGTATCTGTGTTTTGTGATGCTCATTGAATATTACATCAAACACCATTCGATTCTGTCACGCAGTGTGACCACTGGACCAGAACCACCATTGATATAGGAAACTACCTTTGAAATGCAAAGAAAACATGATACCTTTGAAAGACAAACAATTGTTGAAAAGGAACATTTACAAAATCGTCGTCCTTCACTGCCCATAAGGCTGTGTATGATAAATTAAAACAAAAAATTAAAAGAAAAAACTAAAACAAAATATTAAACAAAAAAATTAAAACAAAAACTGTAGTTACTAGCTGGAACCATTTCACTAGTGTTTTTTATTGATAATTCCGGGGTAAGACCCCCATTACAGACATGATATTTTACGGACTAAGACCCCATTACAGACATGATATTTTACGGACTAAGACCCCCCATTACAGACATGATATTTTACGGACTAAGACCCCCATTACAGACATGATATTTTACGGACTAAGACCCCCCATTACAGACATGATATTTTACGGACTAAGACCCCCATTACAGACATGATATTTTACGGACTAAGACCCCCATTACAGACATGATATTTTACGGACTAAGACCCCATTACAGACATGATATTTTACGGACTATGACCCCCATTACAGACATGATATTTTACGGACTAAGACCCCCCATTACAGACATGATATTTTACGGACTAAGACCCCCATTACAGACATGATATTTTACGGACTAAGACCCCCCATTACAGACATGATATTTTACGGACTAAGACCCCCATTACAGAGATGATATTTTACGGACTAAGACCCCCATTACAGAGATGATATTTTACGGACTAAGACCCCCCATTACAGACATGATATTTTACGGACTAAGACCCCCCATTACAGACATGATATTTTACGGACTAAGACCCCCATTACAGAGATGATATTTTACGGGATAAGACTCTGGGTTAACATGAAACAGGTTAAAGAGACGTGTGTTAAGGGCACTTGGTGTGTTACTTGTATGTGTGTTATTGTGTTATTGTGTCATGACGTCACTCACTAGACCATTAAGCCACTAGCTGGACCATGACGGCATTAACTAGACCATGACGTCTGTAACTAGACGATGACGTTACCCAATAGACAGACCAATTCATCAGTCACAGAAGCGTCTATGTACCTGAGCTATATTTCCCTATGTCTCACGACTTAGCTAGACAAATACAAAGTTTCAGCCCATTTAACTTAGACATTTTGTTCTATATCTTCCATCCACAGTTCAAACCATCCAATTAACCTGAGCTATGTCATTCATACTTTGTTCTATATCCTTCATCCACAGTTCAAGCCATCCAATTAACCTGAGCAATGTCGGTCATACTTTTGTCTGGGAGGAAGAAAGCAATTGCTGAGAAGAAAAAAGTTATTCGGTAAGATCTTGCAGAATATTTTATTTTCATTTATCAATGTGACACCCTCAGTGCAACCGCACCGGGTGAAACCCTTCCTAGTGACGCCGTTGGTACAGTCAAAGCGAGTTTCGCCAAGTTAGAAAGGTTTTTTAACGAGGGATTCTATTACACATTCTCTGCCGATCAAAGTGTTAACGGGTTGTGTAGTGTATTACATTTAGGTCACAATTAATACAGCTTTATAGTTACACCACGCGTACGTTCTTTTTCTTGCTTTTGATGAGTGCTTTGGTACTATATTAATTAAACGAACCACATGGAAGAATGGACCAGAATATCGCTGGGGATGTTGTGGTTAGGGAAAGGGGCAATTTATGGTTTTTACTGTGTGTGACGCTTGGGTTGATATGAAAGACATTTTTTTGTCCATTTTCAGATAAAATTTATTTGTCATTACATCGGGGTTTTTTGAAGCCAAAACATGCAGAAAGTAATCGATAAATATTGATTTTTTTTTCTGCCGCTTAAAGTGTAGTTATGTGGTAACTACAGGTATGTGGTTTCTGAGATGTGTGAAGTGACACCTTTCGTACTTGCAATGTGTGGGAAATGGGTATGTGTGGGGGGGGGGGGGGGTAGGCTATTTTACACAAAGACGCTGGCTCAGTGTGTGTTGGTGTGTGTGTGTGGTGGGGGGGGGGGGGTGAGTATATAGCCATCAGGGAGGCGAACGGCTGCTGATTACCCACTAATTAATGCCGACTGTAATGATTGATGGAGCCCGGGTGGGGAGCTAATGCCTAATGAAGGATGATCAATTAATCGCCTCATTTGCAGGGGTTGCCTATTCTAAAACAATAAAATTCATACGCCAATGTGAATGTGTTTGAATAGTATAATAAAACCGATTTAAACAACTTTAATTAGAAATTGTCATTAATAGCTTTCTAACCGGGAGTCTGAAGTTTAAAAAACAATCAAACGCTAATTGAAATTTCGTCTGGAAGTGTGCTGGTTGCTAGGCAACGTGATGCCATGTATTGGTGACGGTGTCAGACAGGATCAAACACCGTACACTGAACACACCAAAGCACTTAGCCAACATTTTCTCCCTCACTTTATCCTCACCATGTACTGCACCAAACAAATTTGGTTACCCTCATGACGAATGTATGCTTAGTGAGTTGACATGTTGATTGGTGAATTGACATGTTGATTGGTGACTTGACATGTTGATTGGTGAGTTGACATGTTGATTGGTGAATTGACGTGTTGATTGGTGACTTGAAATGTTGGTTGGTGACTTTGAATGTTGATTGGTGACTTGAGATGTTGATTGGTGACTTGAAATGTTGATTGGTGAATTGACATGTTGATTGGTGACTTGACATGTTGGTTGGTGACTTGATGTATTGATTGGTGACTTGACATGTTGATTGGTGACTTGAAATGTTGATTGGTGACTTGATATGTTGATTGGTGACTTGACATGTTGATTGGTGACTTGATGTGTTGATTGGTGACTTGACATGTTGATTGGTGACTTGACGTGTTGATTGGTGACTTGAGATGTTGATTGGTGACTTGACGTGTTGATTGGTGACTTGACGTGTTGATTGATGACTTGAAATGTTGATTGGTGACTTGATATGTTGATTGGTGACTTGAGATGTTGATTGGTGACTTGACATGTTGATTGGTGACTTGATGTGTTGATTGGTGACTTGACATGTTGATTGGTGACTTGAAATCTTGATTGGTGACTTGACGTGTTGATTGGTGACTTGAGATGTTGATTGGTGACTTGTTGTGTTGATTGGTGCCTTGATGTGTTGATTGGTGACTTGACATGTTGATTGGTGACTTGACATGTTGATTGGTGACTTGACATGTTGATTGGTGACTTGACGTGTTGATTGGTGACTTGAGATGTTGATTGGTGACTTGATATGTTGATTGGTGACTTGATGTGTTGATTGGTGACTTGACATGTTGATTGGTGACTTGACATGTTGATTGGTGACTTGATGTGTTGATTGGTGACTTGATGTGTTGATTGGTGACTTGATATGTTGACTGGTGACTTGATGTGTTGATTGGTGACTTGATGTGTTGATTGGTGACTTGACATGTTGATTGGTGACTTGACATGTTGATTAGTGACTTGACATGTTGATTGGTGACTTGATATTGGTGACTTGACATGTTGATTGGTGACTTGATATTGGTGACTTGATATGTTGATTGGTGACTTGATGTGTTGATTGGTGACTTGATATTGGTGACTTGATATGTTGATTGGTGACTTGACGTGTTGATTGGTGACTTGATGTATTGATTGGTGACTTGACATGTTGATTGGTGACTTGACATGTTGATTGGTGACTTGACATGTTGATTGGTGACTTGACATGTTGATTGGTGACTTGACGTGTTGATTAGTGACTTGATGTGTTGATTGGTACCCTCATGACGAATGTATGCTTAGTGAGTTGACATGTTGATTGGTGAATTGACATGTTGATTGGTGACTTGACATGTTGATTGGTGACTTGACGTGTTGATTGGTGACTTGACATGTTGATTGGTGACTTGACGTGTTGATTGGTGACTTGACATGTTGATTGGTGACTTGACATGTTGATTGGTGACTTGATGTGTTGATTGGTGACTTGACATGTTGATTGGTGTTGCTTAATGAGTCGAAATCAATTGATAATATGTTTTTTTCTATTCCTGTAATTGATTTAATACTTTTACAGCATACTAAAGAATTAGACATTGGTTTGGTCGATCTAACCTGTGTGCTATAGAATAAGTTCAACTATGTGCAATATAACAAGAGTAGCTGTGCTATAGAAAAATTGCACCTGTGGTATAGAACAAGAGTAGTTGTGCTATAGAATAAGTTCAGCTATGTGCAATATAACAAGTGTAGTTGTGATGTAGAACAAGTGTAGCTAGGCTATAGAACAGTTCCAGCTGTGTGCTATAGAACAAGTGTAGTTATGTGCTATAGAACAAGTGTAGCTGTGCTATAGAACAAGTGTAGCTGTGCTATAGAACAAGTGTAGCTGTACTATAGAACAAGTGTAGTTGTGTGCTATAGAACAAGTGTAGCTGTGTGCTATAGAACAAGTGTAGCTGTGTGCTATAGAACAAGTGTAGCTGTGTGCTATAGAACAAGTGTAGCTGTGTGCTATAGAACAAGTGTAGCTGTGTGCTATAGAACAAGTGTAGCTGTGTGCTATAGAACAAGTGTAGTTGTGTGCTATAGAACAAGTGTAGCTGTGTGCTATAGAACAAGTGTAGCTGTGTGCTATAGAACAATTGTAGCTGTGCTATAGAACAAGTGTAGCTGTGTGCTATAGAACAAGTATAGCTGTGCTATAGAACAAGTGTAGCTGTGTGCTATAGAACAAGTGTAGTTATGTGCTATAGAACAAGTGTAGCTGTGCTATAGAACAAGTGTAGCTGTGCTATAGAACAAGTGTAGCTGTACTATAGAACAAGTGTAGCTGTGTGCTATAGAACAAGTGTAGTTGTGTGCTATAGAACAAGTGTAGCTGTGTGCTATAGAACAAGTCCAGCTGTGTGCAATAGAACAAGTACAGCTGTGTGCTATAAAACAAGTGTAGCTGTGCTATAGAACAAGTGTAGCTGTGTGCTATAGAACAAGTGTAGATGTGTGCTATAGAACAAGTCCAGCTGTGTGCAATAGAACAAGTACAGCTGTGTGCTATAGAACAAGTGTAGTTGTGCTGTATTGAAAGTGCAGTTGTGCTATAGCACTAGTGCAGTTGTGCAAAATATAAATGTAATCTCACTTCAAGCTCCCCTCTCAATTCGCCAGAAAATCGATAATCGTGTCGATCGATCCGATATTATTGATCACAAGTTATCTCATCTTTCATCAGTATTTAAACAAATTGTTTATGCGCGAAAATTGTTGAGATCAATAATTGCATGATTGAGATCAATGCTTACATGATTGATTGATGCGTCTGATTGTCTCTAGTTTTCACTTGACCGCCTGACAAAAAACACCATCTGCTCAGAAAGTCCACCTTTGTGGTCTGAGAGATGACATCAGTCGCGAGCTCATTAGATATTACTGTGTATGAGCTCATTAGATATTACTGTGTATGAGCTGTTTGATTGGTTCACTGAGTTTCTTCCCCAATTGTACTGGACCGTACACCAAGTCGTCACACGATTTTTGTGACCCGCCCATTTGAAGCGACAGACTCGGTGTCGCTCTTAATGCCGAATTGAAATATGCCGAAATTAAAGTTATCCATTACTGCCGAAACAGAATATGTCGAAATTAAAGTTATCCATTACTACCAAAGTTAAAGATATCTATTACTACCGAAATTAAAGATATCCATTACTACCAAAATTAAAGATATCCATTACTACCAAAATATAAGATATCCATTACTGTCGAAATTAAAGATATCCATTACTACCAAAATTAAAGATATCAATTACTACCAAAATTTAAGATATCCATTACTGTCGAAATTAAAGATATCCATTACTGTCGAAATTAAAGATATCCATTACTAAAAAAAATTAAAGATATCCATTACTAGTAAAATTAAAGATATCCATTACTACCAAAATTAAAGATATCCATTACTAGTAAAATTAAAGATATCCATTACTACCAAAATTAAAGATATCCATTACTGCGGAAACTATGAGTGTTGAAATTATGGCCCTCGTCCCTACCCTAATCAATCGAATAGCAGGTTGAAATGGTTTAGTATTTTATTTGCCATCGTAATGGGGTATACATGTAGCATTTTACCGTTACCACTATACTGATACCATTATGCTGATGCCACTATACTGATACTGCTACTATACCGGTGTATATATATATATATATATATATATATATATATATATATATATATATATATATATATATATATATTATATATATATATATATATATATATATATATATATATATATTATATATATATGGTGCAGTAGACTATGTTTGTGTATTAAATGGGGTAGTACATCTGTATGTTAAATGGTGCAGTATGTGTTGATTAGTGGATTTTATAAATTTGGTGGTGCAGTGTGTGTATTTGTGTGTTCAATGGTGCAATGTCTATGCGGAGTTTTGCAGGATCTTAATTGGTGGATTGCCTGAAGAGAATAGTGCGTGACTTGCACAAAGGCAGTTTGTAGTGACATGACAATCGCCTGATCGCGAGCTTTATTTAGCAGACACATCCATGAGTGGCGTCACTACCAATGTAGACTCCTGTAGGAGTGGCGTCATTAACAATGTAGACTCCTGTAGGAGTGGCGTCACTACCAATGTAGAATCTTGTGGGAGTTGCGTCACTACCAATGTAGACTCCTGTTGGAGGGATGGCGTCACTAACCATGTAGACTCCTATAGTGGTGAGGCGTCACTAACCATATAGACTCCTAGGAGGGGTGGCCTCATTAAACATGTAGACTCCTGCAGTGGTGAGGCGTCACTAACCATGTAGACTCCTATAGGAGGGATGACGTCATTAAACATGTAGACCTCTGTAGGAGGGATGGCGTCACTAACCATGTAGACTCCTGTAGAAGGGATGGCGTCACTAACCATGTAGACTCCTGTAGAAGGGATGGCGTCACTAACCATGTAGACTCCTGTAGAAGGGATGGCGTCACTAACCATGTAGACTCCTGTAGAAGGGATGGCGTCACTAACCATGTAGACTCCTGTAGAAGGGATGGCGTCACTAACCATGTAGACTCCCGTAGAAGGGATGGCGTCACTAACCATGTAGACTCCTGTTAGAGGGATGGTATCATTAAACATGTAGACTCCTGTTGAAGAGAACTTTGTCATCCCACCTCAGCTCATAAGTTATTCGTCCGGTGTCTTGGTCACATTTTTAAATGGACAAAGGCGTCTGTTTTTTTGTTTTTTTTTATTAAGAGCAGCATTTTTTAAAAACAATAGTGAGTATAATAACAATCTTTATCATGTAAAAATACTTTGTTTAATTATTCCTTTACATTTTCCAAAAAAAAAAATACATGCAAAAATACACATGAAACAATCGTAAAACCAGATAAACGGCTTCCACATAACAGCAAAGAGTTTATTTTTAAATGAACGATTATTTCCCCTTGTGTTCCCCAGGAAAGTTGGGAAGATTGCTGAGGGGAAGGAACCCGCTGTTACTGCATTATGGAAGGTGACGACAGGGGGACGGAAAGTGACCATCTCATTTTGTGAGCGTGCACTTAGATATACACTCAGACACACTTAGCTATACACACATACACACTTAGCTATACACTCAGACACTTAGCTATACACACAGACACACTTAGCTATACACACATACACACTTAGCTATACACTCAGACACACTTAGCTATACACACAGACACACTTAGCTATACACTCAGACACTTAGCTATACACTCAGACACACTTAGCTATACACTCAGACACACTTAGCTATACACTCAGACACACTTAGCTATACACACAGACACACTTAGCTATACACACAGACACACTTAGCTATACACTCAGACACACTTAGCTATACAGTCAGACACACTTAGCTATACACCCAGACACTTAGCTATACAGTCAGACACACTTAGCTATACACCCAGACACACTTAGCTATACACTCAGACACACTTAGCTATACACACAGACACACTTAGCTATACACACAGACACACTTAGCTATACACTCAGACACACTTAGCTATACACTCAGACACACTTAGCTATACACCCAGACACTTAGCTATACAGTCAGACACACTTAGCTATACACCCAGACACACTTAGCTATACACTCAGACACACTTAGCTATACTCATAGACACACTTAGCTATACACTCAAATCCAGTTATACACCCAGACACACTTAGCTATACTCATAGACACACTTAGCTATACACTCAGACACACTTAGCTATACTCATAGACACACTTAGCTATACTCATAGACACACTTAGCTATACACTCAGACACACTTAGCTATACTCATAGACACACTTAGCTATACACTCAGACACACTTAGCTATACAACCATACAAACTTGTATATATATATATATATATATATATATATATATATATATATATATATATATATATATATATATATATATATATATACTCATAGACACACTTAGCTATACACTCAGACACACTTAGCTATACACCCAGACACTTAGCTATACAGTCAGACACACTTAGCTATACACCCAGACACACTTAGCTATACACTCAGACACACTTAGCTATACTCATAGACACACTTAGCTATACACTCAAATCCAGTTATACACCCAGACACACTTAGCTATACTCATAGACACACTTAGCTATACACTCAGACACACTTAGCTATACTCATAGACACACTTAGCTATACTCATAGACACACTTAGCTATACACTCAGACACACTTAGCTATACTCATAGACACACTTAGCTATACACTCAAATCCAGTTATACACCCAGACACACTTAGCTATACTCATAGACACACTTAGCTATACACTCAAATCCAGTTATACACCCAGACACACTTAGCTATACTCATAGACACACTTAGCTATACACCCAGACACACTTAGCTATACTCATAGACACACTTAGCTATACACCAACACTCACAGTCAGACACACTTAGATAAAGAATTAGACAACTTTTGATTTAATTTCTAAAGCTCCGAGTTTATCAACTTTAACTTACAACTTTTTATTTATTTTCTGCAGCTCCGAGTCTATGAACTAACACTTTCAATATTTTTTTCTCCAGCTCGCGACAACATGAACGTGTACGTGGACAACAATCCAATCGAGTGTACGGTAAGGGCTGTAGGTTCTCTCCCTTGCTATGTACTGTAGGATCTCCACCATGTTGTAATATACTGTAGTGTAGAATCTCTACCATGGGTTTACATTAGATTCTCTCCCTTGTCTTCTTCTTCTTCGTTCTTAATTATTAGTGTTGAAGGGGATTGAGATTTATTTGCCAGTGGGTTTGAACTCGAGACAATGTTCGAATTTATCAACCATGAGCTTTTTGCCGACTCGACCACGCCTCCAACACAATTAAGCGTTACGTGTCAACTGGTTATGCCATTGAGGCCTGCTTTTTCTTTTTGGATTTGCTTCCATAGCCTTTGTCCAACCAAGAACAAACTACAAGGCAGCAGTTGTTTAATTTTTGGAGTTGTCTCTCCTAGAAGAGTGGCTATCCCCAGCTAACGAGCCTCATCTGCCCGAGGGTTCGAACTCGAGACTTTTCGGTTTAGCAACCATGAGCTTTACCGACTCGACCACGCCGACCCCTTGTTTCATAGTAGGTTTTCGCTGGAATTTTTGTATCAGGTTCTCTTCTTTGTTTTATTGTAAGATCTCTCCCATGTTTTACATCAGGTTCTCCCCCTTGTTGTATTGTAGCCTAGATTCTCTCTCAAATTTTTATCCCAGGTTCCTCTCATGTTCCAAGAGTAGGTTCACTACAGGCTCTGGGTACAATGCGGATAACGAATGCCCCCCCCCCCTTTCTTGTTTTCCTCATCTTCTCTGCTACCACAGGCTTTACCCTCCATCTCCACCACCCTCAAGTTTTCAGCTACATGCAAAAGGCAATCCATATGGGGCTGTAGGTACCCTATAAATCAGCGGTCACGCTTTGCTAATCTCCGACTGAAGTGAATCGATTTATTCTTAGTATCGATTAGGCTTGAGCTCTCAATGAAATGAACAAACATTTCCTGGTGCGGAAATCTTATGGAGAAGTTATTGTTACGTGGCAATACAATATGAACATCAAATGCTGAATGTTTTCAGTCACATTTAAAGCAGTCATATTTACATCAGTCATATTTACAGTACTCATACTTACAGCAGTCTTATTGACGCGGTCATATTTACAGCGATAATGTATCTGCAAGGGTGGGATTATATATATATATATATATATATATATATATATATATATATATATCAGGGGTCTACGACAAATTCTCGAAAGACACTTGCCCGAATGCCGTTTGCCCGAAGGCCGATTTCCCGAATGGACACTTGCACGAATGCGACAAATGCCCGAATGGACACTTGCCCGAATGGACACTTGCCCGAATGCGACAAATGCCCGAATGGACACTTGCCCGAATGCGACAAATGCCCGAATTGACACTTGCCCGAATGCGACAAATGCCCGAAAGGACACTTGCCCGAATGCGACAAATGCCCGAATGGACACTTGCCCGAATGCGACAAATGCCCGAATGGACACTTGCCCGAATGCGACAAATGCCCGAATGGACACTTGCCCGAATGCGACAAATGCCCGAATGGACACTTGCCCGAATGCGACAAATGCCCGAATGCCACTTGCCCGTCCGGGGAGTGGATGTACTCCCCCGAAGAGATGATGCCTGAAAGAAACTCTGGTCACCGGCAACTTGGTCTGGAACCTCCAGTCTACAGTAGTGTGCCTGAAATCCTTCCTGCCATGCTCTGATATTTCCCTGATTTCAGTGTTTCCTCCAGATTTTTTCCTCCGGGGGGGGGGGGGGGGGCACTTGATATTTTTCGGGGAGGTGAACGAAATTTCCGGGTGGGGGCGGACACTAGTAAAATTATGTTTTCTATATAAATTCCATTTCGTTCTGGGGAGGGGGGGGGGGGGGGGGCGGAGCCCCAAAGATATACCTGGAAGAAACTCTGCTCCCCCTCTACCCCTGCCACCAGTGTTTCTTCCAGACTTTTTTCCCGGGGGGGTGGGGGGTGGGGGTACTTGATACTTTCGAGGGGGGGATCAACATTTTCCGGGGGGGGGGGGCGGGACTCTCTTCGGAGGCCCCCCCCCCCCCACCCGGAAGAGATACCTGGAAGAAACTCTGCTCCCCCTCTACCCCTGCCGCCAATTGTCTACGACACTGAGAAAAGAAAAGGGGTGGTCTGCCTTTAGCTAACGTGTTGCAATATTGTATAGGCAGAAAAACATTTCCCATCACAAACACACCAATCCACCTGGCTATTTCTGGCTGCCCTTATATGGACAAAATGGCCACCTGACTATTTCTGGCTGCCCTTATATGGACAAAATGGCCACCTGACTATTTCTGGCTGCCCTTATATGGACAAAATGGCCACCTGACTATTTCTGGCTGCCCTTATATGGACAAAATGGCCACCTGGCTATTTCTGGCTGCCCTTATATGGACAAAATGGCCACCTGACTATTTCTGGCTGCCCTTATATGGACAAAATGGCCACACGACCTGGTCAACAATGACGTCAGACAGAGCCTTTCAGGCGGGTCATCTCTTGGCCACTTCAGCTCTGTGATACAGACGACAAAAACATTTGAGCCTCACAACAGGGAGAGTGGAGCAACATAAAGGAATTCTACCCAATCGATGCCGGCGTATCCGGGGTCTAATTTACAGATTTTGAAATGCTTTTAAAAATTTTTCCATTCTGTCAAACCCGTTATAAAAACATTGATGTAATTTGATGTCTCAGTGAGCATGTGAGGACTGTGAAAGTTTTCATTTTTTTTTTTATTTTGGTAACCGAGCATGCAATTCAGCAGAACTATACATAATGTTGAGCTATAAATAGTAGTTCAGTTTTGTAGTTTGGATAAATCAAGTAAAATGTTGTGTACCTTGGGTAGAAAGTTTCGTTAAAAATCTACCTTTGACGTCATGACAGGCTTACATCACGGACAGCGGGTATGACCTTGACCTTTTATTCAACTTGGGCGAGAATAAAGGTCACATCTACAGTGACGTGGAGGGCACAGAAATGACCAACTATCTGTTCTTTGACGATCAGTTGGTAGCACAGGAGAAACAGACCAACTTGAAGTCAGGTCATCGCCCTGATGGTAGGGTTTTTGTTGTGGTCAGTTTTTAGTGGGGGATGTTAAGGTTTTTGTTGTGGTCAGTTTTTAGTGGGGGGTGGTGAGGTTTTTGTTGTGGTCAGTTTTTAGTGGGGAGGGGGTGGTAAGGTTTTTGTTGTGGTCAGTTTTTAGTGGGGGGTGGTGAGGTTTTTGTTGTGGTCAGTTTTTAGTGGGGAGGGGGTGGTAAGGTTTTTGTTGTGATCAGTTTTTAGTGGGGGGTGGTGAGGTTTTTGTTGTGGTCAGTTTTTAATGGGGGGGGGGGATGGTAAGGTTTTTGTTGTGGTCAGTTTTTAGTGGGAGTGGTAAGGTTTTTGTTGTGGTCATTTTTTAATGGGGGGTGGTAAGGTTTTTGTTGTGGTCAGTTTTTAGTGGGGGGGGGGGGGGTAAGGTTTTTGTTGTGGTCAGTTTTTAGTGGGGGATGGTGAGGTTTTTGGTGTGGTCAGTTTTAGTGGGGGGGGGGTAAGGTTTTTGTTGTGGTCAGTTTTTAGTGTGTGGGGGGGGGGAGGTAAGGTTTTTGTTGTGGTCAGTTTTTAGTGGGGGAGGGGGGGGTGGTAAGGCTTTTGTTGTGGTCAGTTTTTAGTGGGGGGGGGGGGTGGTGGTGGTAAGGTTTTTGTTGTGGTCAGTTTTTAGTAGGGGATGGTAAGGTTTTGTTGTGGTCAGTTTTTAGTGGGGGGGGGGGGTAAGGTTTTTGTTGTGGTCAGTTTTTAATGGGGGGGGGTAAGGTTTTTGTTGTGGTTAGTTTTTATGGGGGGTGGTAAGGTTTTTGTTGTGGTTAGTTTTAATGGGGGGGGGGGGTGGTAAGGTTTTTGTTGTGGTCAGTTTTTAGTGGGGAGGGGGGTGGTAAGGTTTTTGTTGTGGTCAGTTTTTAGTGGGGGGTGGTGAGGTTTTTGTTGTGGTCAGTTTTTAGTGGGGGGGGGGGGTGGTGGTGGTAAGGTTTTTGTTGTGGTCAGTTTTTAGTAGGGGATGGTAAGGTTTTGTTGTGGTCAGTTTTTAGTGGGGGGGGGGGGGGTAAGGTTTTTGTTGTGGTCAGTTTTTAATGGGGGGGGGGTAAGGTTTTTGTTGTGGTTAGTTTTTATGGGGGGTGGTAAGGTTTTTGTTGTGGTTAGTTTTAATGGGGGGGGGGGGTGGTAAGGTTTTTGTTGTGGTCAGTTTTTAGTGGGGAGGGGGTGGTAAGGTTTTTGTTGTGGTCAGTTTTTAGTGGGGGGTGGTGAGGTTTTTGTTGTGGTCAGTTTTTAGTGGGGGGGGGGGGGGGTAAGGTTTTTGTTGTGGTCAGTTTTTAGTGGGGGATGGTAAGGTTTTTGTTGTGGTCAGTTTTTAGTGGGGAGGGGGTGGTAAGGTTTTTGTTGTGGTCAGTTTTAGTGGGGGGTGGTGAGGTTTTTGTTGTGGTCAGTTTTTAGTGGGGGGGGGGGGGGGGTAAGGTTTTTGTTGTGGTCAGTTTTTAGTGGGGGATGGTAAGGTTTTTGTTGTGGTCAGTTTTTAGTGGGGAGGGGGTGGTAAGGTTTTTGTTGTGGTCAGTTTTTAGTGGGGGGTGGTGAGGTTTTTGTTGTGGTCAGTTTTTAGTGGGGAGGGGGTGGTAAGGTTTTTGTTGTGATCAGTTTTTAGTGGGGGGTGGTGAGGTTTTTGTTGTGGTCAGTTTTTAATGGGGGGGGGGGGGGATGGTAAGGTTTTTGTTGTGATCAGTTTTTAGTGGGAGTGGTAAGGTTTTTGTTGTGGTCAGTTTTTAATGGGGGGTGGTAAGGTTTTTGTTGTGGTCAGTTTTTAATGGGGGGGGGGGGGATGGTAAGGTTTTTGTTGTGGTCAGTTTTTAGTGGGAGTGGTAAGGTTTTTGTTGTGGTCATTTTTTAATGGGGGGGTGGTAAGGTTTTTGTTGTGGTCAGTTTTTAGTGGGGAATAAGGGTTTCTGCTTGCATTCTTTTAAGACATTGATCCAGAATTAGATTTTGTTCTTTTTTATTCCATATAACTTGCAAGCTATTCATTTTTGCAACATATAGACTACGGTGGAGATTAGATAACTTCAGTTTGGAATGTTATACTAAGTTATACTGTAGATATTTGAAGTGATATTTTTAACCAACCTTTTCTCTTACAGAGGCAGATTAATCTGTTGTGTAGAGTGTAGCAACAAGCAGTCAAAAATTGATGACCTCTGTGCTGAGTGCGTTTGTGTCTTGTATGGCTAGTCTAGTCACATTTTTTAACTGCTAGATTAAATTATTGATTTGTAGCATAGTGAAAAATTGTATTATAAAAGATAATTGTATACATCATGGTGATTGATTCATACTAGTGTAAGCATTAGGTTTCTAATTTTCTAGGGGTTCAATTGTAACTATTTTAATTCATTATTTATAGATATACATTTCTACTTTTAATTAAAGAAATAATTGTCCTGTATTAGTCCATGCATATAATTTGTCTGATATTCAATATGTTGTTGTATTAGATTTTTAAAAATAATGATAAACTTTAGTTACCAATATAGATCTTTTGTATAAATAAAAAAAAAAGGTACTGAAAAGAATTTTTTTATAAAATCAATAAATGTATGAAACAACACAGTACACAAGAAGTGACTTTATTGAATGTTTATCACATGATTGTAAAACTAGTATTGCACATATTTTGTAAAGTTGTTCTTTTGATAATAAGTTCAACTTTTAAACTTTAAATTAAAATTAAAAATATGTAAAACTAACACAAAATACATTAAATATTTGAGCAGTTTTGTAAAATTAGAGAAAATGTAATAAAATACTATTTCACAATATATTTCCTCTTCCTTTCCTTTCACAAATAAAAGTAACTTAAATACTACAATATAGTTTGACTTAACAAAAGTGTTGAACCTACAATATCAAAACTGAGACAGTACAAAAATCTAGACTACAAATGTCTAATATCAAAACTGAGACATTACTAAAATCTAGACTATAAATGTCTGAACTATAAATGACTGGATCCGATATTTTTAATGCTGTATACAAAATATTTGTCTGTAACAGTAAAATGACCACAACACTTTAATTATAAAAAATATTTTCATTTTAAACATTCTTAAAGCTTAAAGTTAAAGAGTTAAAAAATAATTTAGTATTTTTTACTTCATCTTATGTTCAACATTGGCTTAAGCCAGGAATGTAAACAAAAAAAATGACTCAAATAGTTCAACTTGAAATAAACTTAAAACAATTTTAACACTCCATATAAATATTTTATAGTCAAGTACAGTTATAAATTTTTGAAACGGAGATTTAAATTTAAAAACAACTATCTGCTCTACTCTTCTGCCTGCAGATCAAACTTTACATTTTTAAAAATATACTAAATTACACAACATTATTTAATTAGGGGTCATCCATAAATGATGTCACGCTTTTTTTGACGATTTTTACCTCCCCCCCTGCGTCACACGTCGTCATAAAAAGCCAGACCCCCCCTAATATGACGTCACACCTCAGCCTACAACCCCCCCCCCTCAAAATTGCATTTGAATTTTTTTTTTAAACATCGATATTTTTCTAAAATGTTGTCTGAACTCTGTCAAAATAGAGTATTTTAATCAATTCCTATTACGATTTATTAAAAAAGTTTTCTAAAACGCGAAATAACGTCTAAAATTCGTTTTTTAACATTGCTTTTTTATAATACAAAAGTGTGACGTCGCACCATCTGAACCCCCCCTCCCCCTCATCACACACCGTCACAAAATTACGGACCCCCTCCCCCCTACGAGTGTGACGTCATTTATGGACGACCCCTTAATGGCTATTTTTCATTAGTGAAAAATTCAATTGCAGTTAAATAATCTGTTACATTAGTAGTTTCAAAATACCAAAAATTATTTTTACAAGTTATTATGGGAGATTCACCAGGTGTAAAATTAACTATCACATACATGACAAGTGTAAAAATGTCACATACATGAACTACTCAACTAGTGGAATGACAAGTGTTAAAATGTCACATACATGAGCTAGTGGAGTGACAAGTGTTAAAATGTCACATACATGAACTAGTGGAGTGACAAGTGTAAAAATGTCACATACATGAACTAGTGGAGTGACAAGTGTAAAAATGTCACATAGATGAACTACTCAATTAGTGGAATGACAAATGTTAAAATGTCACATAGATGAGCTAGTGCAGTGACAAGTGTTAAAATGTCAAATACATGAGCTAGTGGAATGACAAGTGTTAAAATGTCACATAGATGAACTAGTGGAGTGACAAGTGTTAAAATGTCACATACATGAACTAGTGGAGTGACAAGTGTAAAAATGTCACATAGATGAACTACTCAATTAGTGGAATGACAAGTGTTAAAATGTCACATACATGAGCTAGTGGAGTGACAAGTGTAAAAATGTCACATACATGAGCTAGCGGAATGACAAGTGTAAAAATGTCACATACATGAACTAGCGGAGTGACAAGTGTAAAAAAGTCACATACATGAGCTAGTGGGATGACAAGTGTTAAAATGTCACATACATGAGCTAGTGGAATGACCAGTGTTAAAATGTCACATACATGAACTAGTGGAATGACAAGTGTAAAAATGTCACATACATGAGCTAGTGGAATGACAAGTGTTAAAATGTCACATACATGAACTACTCAATTAGTGGAATGACAAGTGTTAAAATGTCACATACATGAACTAGTGGAGTGACAAGTGTTAAAATGTCACATACATGAGCTAGTGGAGTGACAAGTGTAAAAATGTCACATGAACAACTCCATTAGTGGAATGACAAGGATACAAATAAAATAAAATAGGAATGGTTTTAAAAGATAACTTGCTAAATAAAAGATAAAGCTATCAGCAAATAAAACAAAATTTCCCAGCCAGCTTCTACAACATCTGCAAATCTTTGACGTAAATATAGAACGGCTGCTTGAGAAAATTACTTGGCTTGATCAGATCCTTCTCAGACTGACTCAGTAAACGAGGAGGTGGAGGTCGTGGTGGAGGAACTGCTGAGGACCTTTTGATGACCTTAGGCCTACACACATACAAATTATTTTGTTTCATAGCTTGGTTAATTTAAGTTTGAGGTTTATTTAAAAGGTACAATTACTTGACTAGAAACTATTGGTTTGATTTTCAAAGGAACTCACTTATGGTGAAGGTAAGAAAATAGTAAACAATAAAGTTTTTTAAACCATCCAAAGGAACTCACTTATGGTGAAGGTAAGAAAATAGTAAACAAGAAAGTTTTTTAAATCAACTTAAGGAACTCACTTATGGTGAAGGTAAGGAAATAGTAAACAAGAAAGTTTTTTAAATAATCCAAAGGAACTCACTTATGGTGAAGGTAAGAAAATAGTAAACAAGAAAGTTTTTTAAATCAACTTTAGGAACTCACTTATGGTGAAGGTAAGAAAATAGTAAACAAGAAAGTTTTTTAAATCAACTTAAGGAACTCACTTATGGTGAAGGTAAGAAAATAGTAAACATGAAAGTTTTTTAAATCATCTAAAGGAACTCACTTATGGTGAAGGTAAGAAAATAGTAAACAAGAAAGTTTTTTAAATCATCTAAAGGACCTCACTTATGGTGAAAGTAAGAAAATAGTAAACAAGAAAGCAGCCATTTATTTACCTGGCATTACCAGCCACTTCGTCAGATTCTGCTGAAACAGTTGGGCCTAGATCCCCAAATGAATAAGACTTGGAAGCAAAGCTGCGTCTGCGCTCCTCAGCCGTCTGGAACATGATGGGTGTGGCCAGTGAAGCCGTGCTCCCACTGCGGTCTCTCCACAGTTCTTCAGATGCCAGCAGGTGGTCGTCTGTGGACTGGAAGGAGATGGAGGTGTCGCTGGATGACGAGCCACTTTCATCAACCACAGGTGACAGCTGTGTGTCAGGTAGGGAGTAGCGCAGGTTTACCTTCATCAGCTCACTCAGCTGGTTAAAACAGGTCAATGTTCAGTTAAGTCAATATTTAATCGAGGTGTATGGTTTAAAATTTTATTAAAATTATTCAACTGTGTGAAAAAAAAAATTCAATCAAAATGCTAATTATAACACACCAAACATAAAAATAATTACATCGTAAAGTCATCAACCTATATATACAAATGGTTACCTCGTAAAGTCCAGGCTTATGGATCTGAAAACCGACTCTGTGTGGCATACAAGAACCGCGGGGACAGGAGCTGGCAGAAGGTTAGATTAAAAATACACATGTTTGGGGTAGTTGATAAACTTTGTTAAAAATACACATGTTTGGGGTGGTTGATTAACTTTGTTAAAGTGTTGAAGACAAGCATGAGAAGGTCACAGAGCCTTAATACTAGAATAAAGCACAGTTTTATCCATATTGCTTTGAAGTTTTACTCCAAAGAACTCAATGTTTTTAAAGCGCTAAGCCAACTTGAGAAACTTTTTAAAAAAATGTATATATTGTTGTCTTTTAAAAGATGGCTGCAGATTAGATAAAATATAACTCGAGATATATAAGTTGTTTAAAAGACTGCTATAGCGAAGTATATTAGTTGTAACTGAGAAGACTAAACAAAATTGTTTTAGCTTACACAGATGATAGCAATCTTTTTTCACTAGTCACCACTAGAAATTTTCCAGGATATTTGTTTAGAGAACATCCATCTATTACACTCACACAATTAATTAGACGTCATCTACCAAGACATACAGAAATAGCTCCAGGCAACTTACCTTCCAGCAATATCTGGGTCATGACAAATGATGGAATCTTTGAGGTGCTGAATCCTGCTCATTTCTTCTGGAGATCCCCCTGAGATAGGTTTATGTGCAGTGAGTGTTTGCACAACAATCATGTCACAACTCACAAAGTAGGTTTAATCAGAAATATGTAAACAAAACCATAAGAAAGCACCCAAAAAAAGAAGAACCAACAAATCAAATTGTAAATGTAATTATGTAAATATGGTTTGCACCTTTCAAAATAAAAAAAAGAATGGATTTTTTTTTTTAAATAAAATAACACAAGGAAAAACATTATTGTAAATTGTAGACACTGGATTAAAATATGATTATCTCCCCTAGCTCTGTTTCATATGACCTTCACCTACCATTCTCTAACATATTTCTATACATGTTCTCCAGGTTGTAATACAGTCTCATGCTCATAAAATCATGAAGCTGATTGCTGATGCTGAAGGTAACAAAAAAACTGAAACAAAAATAAAGCTTTTAGTAATAAAAAAAAAATTAAATGAAATGTTCTAATGATACAGTAGGCTATGTGGGATCTTATGCCTAAGAGAAATCTTCTAATGGTATGGTATATGTGTTGATATCACAAATAAAAATGTAGGCCTACTTACGTTTTCCCCAAGACCACCTCTTCATCACATTTGACAGTAATTATAAATGGAGGACAACGTATTCTAATACGTGGTAACCTATGATACAAAAACAAGACAGAATTTCATGAACATTGAAGTACTTTCTGTACCTTGACTAAATTTGAATAGAATAAACTTGTATAAACTGGTTTACTTAAGGTCAAAGATTTTAAAATTTTGTTAAAAAATTCAAAAATATAAAATGTTCATGTCATGCAGAGGGTAAAAGTAAGCTTAAGGTTAAAGGTCAAAAGCTATAACAATGTAGCAGCAAAAAATAAAGAAATGAGTAAACCAACTTGTAGAGAGTTGTAATTTCATGACTGGCTCCAGCATGTGTCCATTTCACATTGGCACGTAATGAAAGCTCCTGAGAATGTTTATATTCATATTGTTTTAACATCTCATTAGCACTTCAAGCAGGAATAACACAAACCATGATAGTCCATAACTTAAAATGACATGGTTAGTCCCCTTTTGCTTTTACACTCATTTATTACTTATAAGTAATAACAATTATTTCTTCTAAATAGATATGAAAGACCTACACACATACTTTTAGCTGCTACCTTTTAAGTCTGATTGACTGATTAACTAAGTCAACTGCTACCTACTAAGTCTGATTGACTGATTAAGTCAACTGCTACCTACTGAGTCTGATGGAATGCTACCTACTGAGTCTGATGGTATGGAAGAAAGATGGAGCCTATAGATCAGGTTCAAGTCCTCACATGGACTCAGTATCACAGGAAATGCCAGACTTCTTTTAGGGACTTCCAGACTGATCAGCTGATGGCAGCTTTCCCATTTGATGGAACTTGAAAAAATGGTGGACGTAATGATGTATCAAATGATGGGAGAATGTGGGTACCATACCATGTAAATCTAGCAACAAGCTTTTTATGTAAGCAAAATAACCTTTATGATATGTCACGATGTACGCCATTTTTTTAAAAATAGATAAGAAGACTAAAGGTCAAACACTGAGAGAAGCACAGAGGCTGGTGAAAGACAGAGTGGGATGGGGGAAGATGTTCAAGAAGACACCAAATGATCTAACTAGACTTGGGGATAGAAGAATACAGGGTGATATCATAAACAATATCTTTCCCAAAGGTATTAAATACTATTACTGCACATTTAATGAATAGATGAACAATAAATATAAATATCCTACCCATCTTCATACGAAATTCCAACATCAAGAACAGGACTAGAACTTGAGAGTATTTGAATACTTTTGATGACCATTTGTTTGTCTGTAGTGTTGTTTACTAGCAATGTAAAGATTCTTTGTTACATGCAATATGTTATGATTTTGAATTATCTTACAATATAACATGACTAACAGAATGTGATTTAATTAATTAATTTAATTAATGTCGGCCTAATTACCTGATAAAAGAAGCAGCTGTTTTTGTCCAGCTGACATCTGTCTCACTCTCAGTTCTGGTGGTCCTTGAACTCGCAGCTTCTTGGTCACTGACAAAAATAAATGGCAGGAATCAGGTTCAGTAACTCTGTCAAATTACCCTGAAATATCTTTCTATCTATTCTCTCTCTGAATGTTATTACTGAAATTATTCAAAAATGATGAGATGAAATAATTTTAAACAGCTTTAAAAAAGACTATGAGTATGTATTTGATAGAAATTAAAAAAACAACTTTTAGCGCACCTATTTTTTCTTGAATTGTGTGGAAAGTACAAGGTACTCCGACAGGTCTGGCGTGTTTGATATTTGTCCCATCACCAGGAGCTGAATCAAAGAACTCTTTGATGTCAACCAGAATTTTTTTTTTAGTTGCAACTTCATTGTTGGTTGCAGCTAATGTTAAAAAATAAATAAAAAGTTAGATTGACATCAGGCTTTAGAAATTACAAGAATATAAAGTATACATATCTGTAGTGTATGACAAAAGAGAGATTAAATATTCTCATTTGTTTAATATTTAATTTAATATTTTTCAAATTGGTAAATAATAACACAACAAAACTATATGTTAAACACCAACCCTCTGCTTTGGTCTGCAAATCACTTTCTGCACTAGTTCCGCTATCTGAAGGATTAGTGACAATGCTGTTCAGCCACAAAACTACACGCAGCTCAACATAATGACAGTCTCCTGATAGATCTTGTAGACATGATGACATAGGTATGATGTAAGTGCTATCGTCACGAAAATAAGGTTTGCAAGAGCTGTCCTGTAATTTAAAGAAATAAGTAGGCAGTTGTAATAACTTGTTTCCCTCAATGGCTAAATTAACATATCATAATTGTTTGCTGGTATTTCCACCCTAACTCTGGTCCTAAAACCTTAGCTTTAATTATAGCCATAACGATAAAATGGCAAAAAAAATTAATGATAGTATTATGATACTGTTTCACCATGACAAACATAATTTGAATTAGATTCCATAAATACTGAATGTTTAATTAATTTAATATTTCGTATTTCTAAAATGTTTAATTAATTTAATATTTCGTATTCTAAGTCTAACCTAACTTAAATTCTTGGTTCTTGTTAGTAGTGAGTAGTATTGTTTTAACAGGTTCGGTGTTAGGATAAAGATTAATATTGAGTATTATTAGTACTACAACTTATAGGGCTTCACTTTAACCATTATGACTTAAGGAGTCCAGATGTGCAGATAGCATTGACATTAGTAAGTGAAACTAGTATGTTTATTTTTATTATAGCTATAACTACCTGTATCCTGATAACTGATACCCATTTAAAAAAAAAAAATTCCCTTATGACATAACTGGACACTTATATATTACGAGCAGAACGGCTGCATAGTATACGCCGCTATTTGGTTATTTTATTTTCTACTTTTCAGGAATTCATAATTTATTAATTCGACACTATCAATACTGGGACTAAAAATATTTGCTATAAAAGACTATCCGTAGGTTAATGAAGGTCAATTATCCTCACCCTCCCTTCCCCCCCCCCCCCCCTCCTAGTGAAAGCAGCCATCGGTGATGACAGTTTACAAGCAACAATGAAAAGATCAAGCAAAACTTGTTACCTCCCCTTAGTTTCAAATTGTTTAAAACCTAAATTATCTGCCCCTAATAGCCACCACTAATATGACCCGGTTCTACAAATGTAAACATTGAACCACAGTTCACCAGACTGATGGGGGGGGGGGTGATGTCTGTCGTGCATGCCTGGAGAGTGACGGAGGGGGTGGGTTAGAGAGACGGCTTGCGTGCATGGTGGTGTCCCGCATGGTAGGGCAACGTCGTGGAGAATTATATAAATATATATAGATTCTAACGTACATGACTTCTAATATGATAAGCAACAAAATTAAACAACATACAACACATACATGTTCTAAGCTCATTGAAGCTGATGTTAAACCAGAAGAAGTTAAAGAGCTTGATTGACTAGATGTTCCAAAAAATGTAGCTAAGACAGGACACACTAAACCAAAACTTTCATTAGATGTCAAAGTGGTCTTTTTAGAGTCTGCTATTTTTCTGTTTTGAGAAGAATCTGGAGTATCGCCTGACACTGTTGATGAAAATGTCGATGGTACGATAGTAGCTTGTCCAGCAATTTGGACAATCTGAAGTTTCCAAGCTCCTTCATCTTTGTTTGCCCGCTTGATAACAACATCATATTTTAATGTTTCCCCAATGTAAACCGGCGCGTGGTAGTCTGGTTTATTTATGTTAAAAGTTAGGGATGGGTGATTGCAAAACCCTTCAATGGAGACAGTCCCAATTTCATTTTCCGAAGTTACCGATTTGTTTATGTTTATATCTTCCATCTTGGGTCTACCCAAAAACCGTAAAAGAACAGAAAAGGTAACGAAAACTATAAAAGTCTAAATACCAGTTATAAGAAACGCTCGCTCTCAGATTTTGTGGACGTCATTAAATGGAATACCCTTAGCACAAAGGCTTTGAAACTATTTTTTAAATATTGAAAACAAAAAATAACACTACTGGTCAGGTTTTAGTGTGAATTTCATTTAGATCTAGAACGAATTACTAAAAAAAAAATACCCTATAAAAAGCTTTATAATAATAAGCTTTTAAAATAAATGTACTGAAAATAAGAAAATACAAGCTTGCTTTTATTAAAGAAAGCATTGGTTGGAGTAGCCTAAATATTTCCTACATAATTTGCAAGCTTTTGAGGAAGTGAGCAATAAATAGTTGCCTGAAACTTGGGGACGCAACCCCTTGTGTTATGGAACTAGCTCAATGTTGGGGGGCAACGAATAGGGGAGGGAATCTTGCCGTGTTACTTCCAGACTTTTCAGACTCTTTTCTCCGGGGGGGGGGGGGGGGGGGGGCATTTGATATTTTCGGGGGGGGGGGGGGGTCTACATTTTCCGGAGGGGGTCGGACACTAGTACAAGTATATGTTTACTGTATAAATTCCATCTCGTTCGGGGGGGGGGGGGGGGGCGGTAGACTTTCTTCGGGGGGAAGAGCCCCCCCCCCACCCCCACCCGAAGAGAAGGCTGGAAGAAACTCTGGAATCTTTGACCTAATCCTTCGCAATTGAATGCAGCTTTTCCTCTGCACCTTATTAAAGTTGAGGACTTCCAGTATTAAGAAAACCTGGTAAGACGGCAACTCTTAGGTTAATTATCCGGCCTTGGTGTAAGGACCCCACAAATGAACAAAATTGTTATAAAACAACAATGTTTGAGCACTCTAGAGTAGAGAATGGGGTCCAGATATAAGCCGGACATAGACAGAATAAATACATTCGATACTACCAAAATTAACTGGCAAAAGGCCGACAATTAACATACAATTTTAAATGTATAATAGTTTCCCCTAAATTACTAAAAAAAAACTTTTCACTCAACGGAGTTTTATATTTGATATAAAATCAAAATCATCTGGGTAACAGATTTAAAATGTTTAAGGCTATTGAAGAAAACAGTGTTCTTATTTATATGTTAGCCAAATTATTTTGAAAATAAAACAAAAGAATATTTAGAGCAGAGGCGTATCCAGGTTTTCGGTGTAGGGGGAGCGGAAATAGCAAAAAAAGGCGCCGAATTTGTAATATCTTCTATATAAGTATATATATATATATATATATATATATATATATATATATATATATATATATATATATATATTAGGTGTATGTTATTTTTTCGATATGATGTAAAATAAATTTAAATTAACACACTGAAGAAATAAAAAAAAACACACAATGTAGGCCGACGAAACAAAAAAAAATGTTTTCACTCTAAACAAATATATATATATATATATATATATATATATATATATATATATATATATATATATATATATATATATATATATATATATATATATATATATATATATATATATATATATACACTACAACAAAAACAATGAACGCGGCAAAATCTGTTTCGTAATAATCCTTGTAAAAAAATTACATAATAATTCCTGAGACATATATTAAGACTAGCGAAAAGGGGAAATAATCAATATCTTAATATAACTATGTATATGTCTAGATATTTTATTATGAATATAAAAAAAAAATCAATAATTACTTTAGAATCTAATAAAGTGTCTTAATACTATTTGTTTGTACAAAAATATTTTGTCTACAATCAAAATTAAATATATTGTCATCATAAATGCTAAAGTATTACAGCATAATAAACGTTTTTAGAATTAAAGTTGGTATAAAAGCCAGCTTTTCAACTTTTCAATGTAGTTGTAAAAGATTCGGAATAATAGCCCACATGTAACTGAAACATCAGCTTTACATTTCAAACCATGCACTTTTAATTAGCTACTGACTTTTTGTGTTCTTTAAACATAATTTTTTGACCTAATGAGAAGGTATGGGTTAGATCACTGTATTGCTCACACACCTTTTACTGGTAATTGCAAAAACAATATTCACAGAGATTTACGTTTCAAATGTACCGACCAAAGATAATTTTTTAACAAATCAATTTTAAAAATTTGAGTTTAAAAAGTTTCCAAAAGGCGCCACTTTGCTACAAATGGCCAGAGGGGGAGCGGCCGCTCCCCCTGCTCCCCCCTGCGTACGCTACTGATTTAGAGATTTAACTTCACTGTCCATTGAATCTAAAAAAAAATATAAATAGGGCTAATGTGAGAAAACTAGAATGCAATTAACATCATGTTGCAATCTATCTTTAGTAGGGGTCATATCGTGGTGACCAGTCTACTACTTACAGACTAATATCCACCTTTTGCTTTGATTTGAAGACCTTCCTATCATAAAATAGCGTTCATGTGGACAGTGTCGCCGGCAATCAGAGGCGTAGTGAGGGGGGGGGGGGGGCGGGGGGGGACATATGTCCCCGGGCGCCGACCTTAGGGGGGGGGGCGCCAAATTGAAAATTTGAGGGGGGGGGGGTGCAAATGAAAAGTTCGAGGGGGGTGCAAATCGAAAGTTTGAGGGGGGGGATGCAAATGAAAAGTTCGAGGGGAGGTGCAAATGAAAAGTTCGAGGGGGGGGGTGCAAATCGAAAATTTGCTCCCGAGGGGGGCGCCAAATTGAAAGTATGTCCCCGGGCGCCGGGAAGGGTCGCTACGCCTCTGCCGGCAATACATGTTTTTTTTCTTAGATGGTTGTCACACCTTGTTGTCATAGACAGGGCCTATCACGTGATGTAAGACCCATTCGAGAATATTAACAATAGACAGGTATTTAGTTGTCGGCCTTTTGGTATATCGGCCTTATGTTTCTGGTCTTTGGTTCGCTGGCTTTTTGTCAGTCAACATTTTTGACGGCCGTCTTTCAGTCTGTCGGCATTATGTCCTTATAGTGTGTAGGCCAGTAGGACTCTTCAATGTTAGCCTTTTGTCCATGTCGGCATTCGTCCACGTCGGCGGCCATTTGTCCGTGTCGGTCGTTTGACCATGCCAGCCTTTTGTTCATATCGACCTTTGGTTCATGTTGACCGTTGGTTCATGTCGACCGTTGGTTCATGTCGACCTTTTGTCCATGTCGACCTTTTGTCCATGTCGACCTTTTGTCCATGTCGACCTTTGGTTCATGTCGACCTTTTGTCCATGTCGACCTTTATTTTGTCGTCTTTCAACCTTCGTGATGAACCATGTAGGCCTCTCTACCAAACAAGTTAATTTTTAATTCCCATTTTCGTTCTGCTCCTCGGATCTTGTTTAATTAATTACAGCTTTCATTAAAAAAAAAAACACGAAGACGTCTTAAGAATATATTCTACCTATGCACGTGCGATGCGCGTGTTTACTTAAGACATTGTGTGGGAGTCGATCGGCAGCAGAGACTGACCTAAATAGGTCGTAGCAGAGCACCAACAGGAGGTGTTTAGTTTAGATACGATGGCACCAACAATATGTTGTCTACAGCTAATGTTGGTACCAACAATATGTTGTCTACAGCTAATGTTGACACCAACAATATGTTGTCTACAGCTAATGTTGGTACCAACAATATGTTGTCTACAGCTAATGTTGACACCAACAATATGTTGTCTACAGCTAATGTTGGTACCAACAATATGTTGTCTACAGCTAATGTTGACACCAACAATATGTTGTCTACAGCTAATGTTGGCACCAACAATATGTTGTCTACAGCTAATGTTGGCACCAACAATATGTTGTCTACAGCTAATGTTGGCACCAACAATATGTTGTCTACAGCTAATGTTGGTACCAAAAATATGTTGTCTACAGTTAATGTTGGTACCAACAATATGTTGTCTACAGTTAATGTTGGTACCAACAATATGTTGTCTACAGCTACCATATGTTGGCCTTGCACAGCCATGTATACACTCTTTATAGCAGCACATTTATAGGTACAGCAGTCATAGTAGCACATCTATAGGTGCTACAGTCATTTTAGCACATCTATAGGTGCTACACTCATATTAGCACATCTCTAGTCCCAATCATAAAGTCAGTACATCAATTAACACAAGTTCATTAGACTTCTATTAACATATGATGTATGCAAGCAATTTCTCACTGATGGGATGGCTTGCAGATAATGTCAAATTGATGACACCATCAAACAATTACATCACTTGTAATTATTTAATTCCTGTTAAACTGAGTGACTCATACAAAGATGCGTTTTTACTTTCTCGTATATACGTAGTATAGAGAAAGTATTGTAATCGTGCAAAAAAAAAATCGAGATTTTTACAAATCTCGACGTTTTACACCTCACTGATACGGAAAAACATAATTTTGCAATCTTGTCCGTATGTCTGTGTGTCTGTGTGTGTGTGTGTGTGTGTGTGTGTCTGTGTGTGTGTGTGTAAACACGATAACTTGAGTACCGTTACAGCTAGGTTGATGAAATTTCATATATAAGTATTTTATCAAAATCGTAGATCCGTATCAACTTTTGAGCGATTTCCGATAACCGGAAGTGGTACTTTTTTTACTTTGAATTTTTCAAAAGCCTATAACTTGAGTACTATTTCAGATAGAGGAATGAAATTTCAACTGTAAGTAAAAGATCTAATTCTCTACCTTCTGTTAAATTTTGACTAATTTCCGTTGACGGGAAGTACTAATTTACGCTATTTCCGATTTCTCAAAAACGCATGTAAATTTATAAAGTACTAATAATATTGCGCACCATTATGAACATCTTTATTCGGCGTTCGCTTGGTGCGCAATACTTTTTTCTATGAGATTCTATTCTATTTTAAAAAGTTTAAGTATTTAAAATGGATTAAAAATCATAACTAGATCTATATCCCGAGTTCCCATCCCCTGTTGTTTTATATAAGAATATTCGAGAAAGTTTAGGGGAGATCACTCC